AAACCGTGAGGAAGCCAGGTTTCGAAACCAGAACAAACAGTAGAAAGCCCAAACCGAAACCAGGAGACAAACCAGGGTCAGGAAGCCAATATCCTGGCCCCAGTAATCCCCCTCTATGAATTGGCTTCATCACTCTGCTCTCCTCCCCACTGAAAGCTGGTGTGTGGGGAGTGTACTGGCGCACTATGGCTGCCATCGCATCATCCAGGTGGGGGCTGCACACTGGTGGGGGTGGAGGGGATCCCCATTGCCTGTAAGGCGCTTTGAGTGGAGTGTCCAGAAAAGCGCTATATAAGTGTAAGCAACTATTATAATTAAATCAAATGAAATCAAATCAATCTGCATCCCGGCACAGCAGGAAACCGGAACAGCCCGCATCTGTCTGCTATAATTAATAACTGCATTCCCAGTAATGCCCTGCTCAAACACGCCAGTAGAAAGTCTGGAAAATTACCGTTTAACTGGTCACATTCAGGCAAAACAGCAGTCTGACCTTGGATACAGTGCTCGGACAACATTCCACCACCTCAGGGCAAACGAAATACAACTTCTCAATAACTTCCCCCGCAGAGGATTACAGGAAATACGGTCTGATAGCCCTCTCTCACCCAGGAAGAGTGAGAAGACAAACAAGTCCTGGGCACCAGCGCAAGCTGTAATAATTGCCTTCCAGAAACAGAGTAAGAGTCAAGGAAGATGTTAAAACTAATATGAAAGGCTCAGCTGTGATTAAAACTGGACTGGGTCTTGCACATCTGGACTGCTCTTTTATTTTATTTTTTTCCCAGATCCTACAATTCTAGGCTGTCTGAAAAGTATGACTTTACTAAAATCATTCAATACCTAAGAAATTTGATTTATGTCAGTTTCTCAGCAATCAGAGGCCAAGAGCAGCTATATCAGCTGAGCTGACCATTAGTGTAACAGGAGCCGGTCCAGGCTATGGTGATCCGGTGCTCGGGGGGGTGCGTCGATGGCAAACAGATCCAGGCAGTCCAAAAGGGGGAATCCGGGGCGCAGTCCCAAGTCCAAAACTGGAGAATCCATCAAAGACAAGACAAACACAGTTAAAAACCCGGAAGGGGTTCCGGAACGGGGACAGGGAATAAAACCAGCCCAGGCGCTCTGAGCCCCGGACTCAGACGGTCGGGACGCCGTGATGAAGCCTGTGCCCTCGGGTCTCTCCTGGACCCACTGGCAGCCGGGCTTCCAGGCGTCCATCTCCCAGTGCTGAGCCAGGAATAGCGAGAGCACCAGGCTTGAATAAGGACAGACAAAAGAAGGGACAGGTGCACGAAATCAACTAAAATAGAAAAGGACCGGAGCGCCCTTAAGAGGAGGGATGACGATCGTGACAATTAGAGATCAGAGGGGTGGTGAGCACCTGAGAGCATGGAGCTAGGCAGCGACTAAAACAACAACAGAGCGCTTCGCACACAGAAGAGAACAGTTCATCATTTGCATTACGTGCACATATAGGACTAGACCATCTTCTTTTGGGTTTTCATGAGGCTGCCTCCTGGAAAAACAAAGGAACTCTATTAAAGCTCCATCACTCACACAGATACAGAGTTACCGGACAGTTTCACAAGGTCACACAGCTGGGTAAAAACTCCGGCCCCGACAACAGCCCACAGCCCTCTGCCTGCACGCCGAGGCTTTGCCTGATGACAGAACACAACAGAACAGGGCTGCAGTACAGAGAGGTATATTTCCCTCTACTGACATTTGGCAGCCAAAAAAAACCTCCTGGGAGATGCAGAAACGTTTTGACTGACTCCCAGATATCACTTTTTGGGGGGAGAGCTGGTTAGAGTAGAAAATCCTAAAACTAAAAATAACCCTCTGACAACTTTGCCTCTTCACAAGTCCCTGCCACATGGAGGCACAGAGAGAAGTGTCTGGCTGATGATGATGATGAGGGAGGCAGGCAGTGACAGTGGGAAATCAGACCCACTGCACTGTTGAGGAACAGCTGGACGACCACAGCTGGCTCTGCCCTTTCTCTTAGTCTGTACAAAGCAGAGGGAAGATAAGACCACTCTCTCATACAGAACAGGGACTGCTGTCAGGCGGATGTTCCTCTCACAGCAAACAGTGTCTGAGCTTCGCTGCCTCTGAAAATTGATAAAATCATGCCCAGAAGAAGATTTATCGGGTACTAAAAGGACATCTAAAAATAGAGTTTAAAAGTAATTAAAAAAAAAACAAATGGAGAATGCCATTCTGCAAGTCTAATGACCCAGCGCGGCCCTCCAGCACAATAGTGCAAGGGTACTCAGACCCCCTCCTCAAAACAGGGGTTTGTGAAATGAAAGAGACATTTTTATTTCACTTGAATGGGGAAAAAAAAGGAGCACTGGGGTTTGAGAGACAGTGGGGCAGAGAAGAATTTGAACTGCGTTGGGGAGAACTTCTCCAGACAGGGGAACCAACCGCCCCTGACCGAACAGCCACCTGAGCACAGCCCTGCGAAAGAGAAGCGAACCCGACGTTTACAAAACTCACAACTTTATTTACCCAAATGCCCCAAAAAAAAAGAAGGCTGCTGCTCTCCTACCCGATGTCCTCATTGACTTCTTAGGCTAATGACTGCTAAAAAAACAAAAATACCTAACAAATGCAGCGCAACACCTGTTACCAAAGCATGGACAGGAGGTCCACTGACGGCCAACAACTTGTCCCACCAGCCTACCTAATTTGCCAAGCTCCACAGCGCCCCCTGGTGGCTTCCTAAAGAGATGGAGAGGGGAGGTGGAACATGACTCTGGGGACATGGAGGTCAAGCTTCCCAGGCCATGTAATAATAATAATAATAATAATAATAATAATAATAATAATAATAATTGCTTACACTTATATAGCGCTTTTCTGGACACTCCACTCAAAGCGCTTTACAGGTAATGGGGATCCCCTCCACCACCACCAGTGTGCAGCCCCACCTGGATGATGTGACGGCAGCCATAGTGCGCCAGAACGCTCACCACACATCAGCGATCAGTGGGGAGGAGAGCAGAGTAATGAAGCCAATTTATGTGGGAGGGGAAGACAGGCAGGCCATCACCCCGAGCTCCAGGGGAAGACGCTTGGTATTCGCAGCCCAGGCCACCTAGGGCATCAGAAAACAGTGCCACCACAGCAGCTTAAAGGAGAGCTTGGAAGGGGGATTTAAAACCAGGAATAGCAGGCATTTGTTTGCACAAAGAGTGGTAGGAGTGTGAAACAAGCTACCCACCCCTGTTGTTGAAGGCAAGAACCTGGTCTCTTCAAGAAACAGCTGGACGAGATCCTGGGATCAATGAACTGCTTACTACCGAACGGGCCTGATGGGCCTCCTGTTGTTCCTGACCGCTGAATCAGGCAGGAACCCAGGGGCAGCCGGTCCTTGCTCACCATCGCAGCGAGAGGCAGAACAATCCGCCTGCAGCAGGGGGCGCCGTGTGGTAGGCTGCTCCTGTTCAGGGAACCTTGGCGTCTTCCCATACATGGTGAGATGCCCAAAGAGCGAGGAGAGGGGGCAGGGTGTACCAGCAAGGAAGCCAGGAGGGCTGGAGTGTCCCGTCAGACAGGGAGGAGAGAGAAGCCCAGGAGTTAGTAACACACACTGGTGTGCTCACATACAGAGACTGAGAATAGAGCAGAAAATCAAATTGATAGTTCTCTTCTGATCCACCATTGCTAATCTTTGGTTGGTATACAATACACTGCCAACCGGCCTGTTTGGGTCGTGCTGGTGTTTTATAAAACACCCCTACACGCGCAGATGGAGAATTGTTTCACGATCCACACAGGGTGAAAAGTGCATGTTCTACTGCCAGAGAAACCAGCATCATTCAATAGGAGAATGCTAAACTGATGCAAATTCTCTGCAAACCAGCTGTGCTCCTTTTAAAAGAAATAACTGCCTTTTTTTCTTTTATTCTAGGTCTTTATTATGAAAGCTCAAAGCTGATTGGTTTAACCAGAATGCCCCATTGCTCCTTTCACACAGCACGTATGCCGTTTGCGCATGTGAAAGCGCACAGGGAGAGCCAAAACAAAATTCTGCAGCTTCAGATCCCTTTTAGAAAAAACTCCCAAACCAAAATAGGGTGTAAATTTGAAGTGTTATCATGGAACATTGTGAATACAGTAATCACAGCCAATAAATACAGCCTGATGGCACACATTGAAACTAAGCGATTGCTATGCACTTTACTCTTGAGATCTCCTCTCCCACAGGGCTGATGGGGTGTGACTTGGGAAACACGGAACAGGGGGTGGTGCTGTTCCAGAAGGGTCTTACCACAATCGAACATTCACCCCTGGACTGACAGTACCACAAGGACACTGCACTCACAGATGAAGCGATTAAGACCATCCCGATAATCTGTCTGCTTGCACAACAACTAACAGTCCCCCAAAACCTCCTATGAATCTTGAATGTGCTGGTTTTCACAGTTTATCTATCCTGCGTGCTCCACACACCCACAACTCTATCCGAAGAAGGGCTTTGCATTTTCATCCCTACATCCGTCTGCTCTTAAGCTCTACTCCTAAACTTGAGGCCTTGTTTTGCCGTTGAGCTTGAAAGAGTCTCTTGGGTCAGCTTTAACAATACCGTTCATTCCAGCACAAAAAGCTCCCCAGCTCCTAGACTCCAGAGATATTCAATTCCTCCGTCTGGCCGTGTGACACTCCTTCATGCCCAAAAATCCGAGCAGTCCCTTTCTGAGCACACCTGAATATTGTAAAGGGGGCTGTACCCCTGTGGGTCTGGCAAACTGGACAGCTCTCTCTGTGCTGGCTGTTGAAAGTGCTGGACCTGGGATCTCTTATTCCGGAGAGAGAGAAATGAAATAGGGAAAGGGCTCTCGTTTTTTTCCAAGCTTAATATTCCGCACGCGTAAGACAAAAACCGAAATGGAAAATGCCCCTTTCTCAGATGAAGTGGTAGCTTCTCAAGAACATAAAGATGACAAATGAGAGGAAGCTTGTTTGTCTTCAGCCGCTAACGGATCCAGGGGTCTCTAACCTCATTCAGCCTCAGTATCATTTTCAGCCGTACAGCCGAGCGGATTGTGAGACACTGCTGTTGTGCTTTTAGGGTCCTTCCCTCTCATCGATTCAGTGAAACAAAGGTGTGTAGAGGTGAGTCGCTTTGGCTAAAAAAAAAAAAAGCATCAGTCAGATAAATTAATTAGTAAATTACAAGAAAAGAAACCTCAGGTTTTATGTCACGTATTTGTTGTCTAGTAGATTAAGGAACGAAAGTGCACGCTGTTGCCTCTTGTTAATTTTAGTGGGGTTTTAGGAGAAACTCCAAACTCCAGACTGGAGCTGGATTGAAAACGTGTTGCAGACTTCCGCTGGGAGTAACCCTATGGGTGCTGGGAGAATATCCAGTCCGAGCCAGGCCTCTGTGTCCTCCCAGCTCTCACAACGTTCCCGTTTTGCAGGGTCGTTCCGCTTGCTTCGTCCACAGACTACAAGAGACTTTAAAAAGAGTTACTCAATAACAGCCAGACTGCCAGGCGCACGCGAAGGTGAACTGCTATGATCTCTGCGTCTCACACTGCATCTTTTACTTCATTCATTGAAATACACGTATAGCAATCATTGCTGCTCCTTCTCTTTTTCTCTACTGTGGTTACTGGATGAGCCGTATTCCGTGTTCCCCAAGAAGAGCCAAATTGGATACAATTCCACTACAATTTTCTTCCTCCCAAAGATACTCGGTCATTGTTGGAGCTCTGATCAAATAATAGCACATTGTCTTATAGGGCAGTTCTGCTCTGGAATGGGAGAGAAGGGCCGCTGAGGTCGGTCAGTCCAATGGTGAGAAAAAAAAACAAAAACAGAGGACTTGGCCATTTCTCTCCCAGAGCTACTGTAGCTGAACCCATCGCTGCGTCAGTAACTGCAGCCCCAGAAGAGTGTACGACTCACATTGCAGGAGCCTGGGAGCACTAGTGCCCCAACACATTCACAGCTGCCACGCTGCTCAAAATTATTTACCCAACATTCACATTACTATGCCCTGCCAACGGGACCCATTCATTCTCAACAGGCTTCGGGCCTGGCCCTTTTCGCTTTGCAAGGTTAAAGTTTTCCCATTACAGAGCTGTAGCAATAAGCACTGGGGGCAAGGCAGCGACGGGGGAAGACATCAATCCCCACCGCTGCTTGTCCACTGACGAGCAATCTGCCAGACTGACAGAAACCGAAGAGAGTGTCACAACCCCCTGATTTACAGGGATCAGCGCGCCAGCAATTTCCAAAGCAATTGATGCAGGTCACATTAGACACCCAGGGAGCCACAAGCTGCTTCATTTCATCTTGAGCTGTTCTGCTGGCGGCAGGCACAGGGTCTCATAAATCCCAACTCCTGCCACACAGGACTCCTGATCTCCCCTTAGCCCATTAAGACATACCAGCTCTACCTATATTCAAGATCCATTCATTCTGCACAGCTATTTACTCAATGAGGCGATGAGTAACCCACATGCACTACATGTCACAGGGAGATGCAGTAGGGTGTTTCTACCCTAGCGTTTTAAACCTGGTATTCGATGGCAATTCAGGTCAAAAGGAAAAATGGTTTTTAGTGGTATCAGCTCAGACCACATTCCCAGGGCACTGTGCATTTGAGGAGGCTAGACACCAGTCATCTGGGCTACTTTATAAGTCCCCATTGACATCTCCTGCCAGAAACATGCAGCGGATTCTCTTGAAAGACTTTTTGCTTTTAAAACTGCTCTTAAACACGTCCTTAGCCAACCAGTAGCACTAGAGGCTGGATGCAATCAAGGGATGATTGGGTTAAGTTGGCCTGGGCTCTCCGGGCAGCTTTCTAGCAAATAGCACTTCCCGCTAACTGCTGTGACATCACAGAGAGACACACTGCTCCTCCAATCTGGTTGACCTCTCCCAGTGGGCACCATAGAGTTCTCAGCACATCATACTACAAGCAGGCACGCTGGAGCATCACGCTCTCTCCCGAGTGGCACAGGAGTCTCTGCCACAAAGCCAAGGTTTTAAAGAGCTTGTGTTTATAGATAGGATACTTTATAGCCCGCTGCTGTGGAAATTTGGCCTTGGGTTCTCCCAAAAAAGTACAATACACAAGCAAAATATTAAATCACAACAACAGAATGCGATACATAACTCAAATTGTTACTGTGCAGAAGACAAGCCCTCATCAGAATGCTTAACAGAATCCTCTGAACTCAAAAGTACCAGCAGGAGTTTATCCAAAAACCTGGGGCAGAAGGTCAGGCCGAGGTCAAAAACGAGTACATCCACAATAACCAAACCGAGAAATCTTGCAGAACAGGGAACAATGCAGCTCTAACTGGGTAAAACCCAGTACTGATGAAGGAGTGGTGTGTCAGGCTGGCTTAAGCAGGCAGGTGGAAGAAGGTGTGTCTGATTAGTTCATTGGAAACTGCACTGGAATGTGAAGGAGTTGATTAAGGGCGGTGTGTTCTCCAGGGGCGTGACATAACATAAATAGGTATTGGTAGCAGAGAGGTCTACATTTACATATTCATTGAGCAGTTATTGTATAGGGGACAAAGGATTTCTTAGAAATGATTCAGTTTTAATTTAGTACCTTATACCGACTCCCTGATGGGAGCATCACGAATTGAGAATGGAGTGGAGGTGTGGAGTCAGCTGTGGTGTTCCTGGCCATTCTGAGAACTGTATCTATGCCGATTCTAAAATTCCCACCTGGTTTAATCTCACCCACCCCCTTTCAGCATCTCCCCCTCTATCGACAGCCCCTGTGTCTCCCATAGGAAAGGGTCGCCTGAAACAGGCCTGTCATGCCCTCTCAAGATCATTTTTTATACTCTAGTGTGAGACCCAAAACTCAAACTAGAAGCTTTTAGAACAAAGCAAACAACAAATAAGCCCCTTCGCTTCACAAGCACTTTTTGTTCCTCATTTTCCCTCCCTTACAGCACAAAAAAAGGTAAAAGCAAATCATTAAAATGATCAAACCCAGAGCGAAGGACCAGACCTCATTAGATCTTGCTCAGCCAGCGAAAGGCTCAGTCCTCATTTGCATTTAAAAAAAAACTGCATGGATTGACAAGTATTCTTTAATTATCACCTTTTCTGTTAGAACGACAGGAACTTCATAATTAAAAAGCAGTTTATAGACGGTATCTTCAGCATGCATTCTCTCTGAAGCACTTGCAGTCTAAGCGCCATGATTAAACGTGCAATCTTTCACAGCAAGCCCAAACAGGGGGGAGGGGGGTATTATTACTACACAGATTCAAATGCGTTTGCCAATATCTGCAAGATGGAGACCACTCCTATTGATCAAGGTGAGGCCTGACTTTGAAGTAGGCAGCGTCAAAACGTTTGAGAAGACATTGCACATCCTGTAGGCGAACTTAACTGCCCTGCATGGCTGGAAATTGACTGGGATGTGACTGGCAAGTCAAATCTTGACTAATAATAATAATAATAATAATAATAATTGCTCACACTTATATAGCACTTTTCTGGACACTCCACTCAAAGTGCTTTACAAGTAATGGGGACTCCCCTCCACCACCACCAATGTGCAGCATACACCAGCCATAATAACACTCATAATTAACTCATGTTAACCTAATAACACTCACCGCACATCAGTGGGGAGGAGAACAGAGTAATGAAGCCAATTCAGAGAGGGGGATTATTAGGAAGCCATGATTGGTAAGGGCCAATGGGAAATTTGGCCAGGACGCTGGGGTTACACCCCTACTCTTTTCAAGAAACGCCCTGGGATTTTTAATGACCACAGAGAGTCAGGACCTTGGTTTTACGTCTCATCCGAAGGACGGTGCCTGTTTACAGTATAGTATCCCCGTCACTACACAGGGGCATTAGGACCCACATGGACCGCAGGGTGAGCGCCCCCTGCTGGCCCCACTAACACCTCTTCCAGCAGCAACCTTCGTTTTTCCCAGGAGGTCTCCCATCCAGGTACTGACCAGGCTCACACCTGCGGAGCTTCAGTGGGGTGCCAGTGGGGAGCTGCAGGGTGATATGGCTGCTGGCTTTTCCCATGAATAGGGAAATAGAAAGGAAGGGGCTGTCAAGTGTGCTTTCTAAGTAAACGACTGCTGACCAGGCCTACAGTGCAGCCAAGGAATGAAGAGAGGAATACCGGAGCCTCGAAGCAGGATAACTCCGGGGTAGGTGCAGATGCACAAGTTGGAATGCAACACTCCCACGTCTTGTAAATGCTCAGCAAGCTGGGGCAGTGCTGTCCTGGCTTTGCTCAATAGGCTTGAAGCCTGGGACTGGGCTTCCTGACAGACACAGCTGCACTTTCAAAACTCCTCCAGTGGGGTCGCTGTGAAATTGAAACAAAATTGCCAAAACGTTTATTTCCCCCTATTCAATGTGAGACATCTGCAACAACAAGTAACACAGAAATGCATAGCTCTGCTGCATCCACCTTCACACGTGTTTTAGGGATCTTATACAGAAACAAAAACCAGGTAGATGCCACGGAGCTGCACAATAAATAACTGACGACAGCATTTTTTTTCTTAAAACTCAGTCCAGGCAATTGTTGCTGCACTGGAAACCTCAGCAGCAAAATGCTTAAGGAGCTTATGTAATATCGGATGAGAGTCAGGAGGAAGTGGTGGTGTCATGTCAGCAAACTGCCTGTCTATGCACAGTGCTGGGGGATGTTAGGATTAATAATATATTTATAAAGGCCTCCAGCTGCCTCTCTTCCTCTTTAAAGTGACTTTAGAGATGACAGAGTCTAGCACCACCACACATATCGTAACTATTCCTCTCTCTGTCCATTTGAAACTGTCAGGCCAGTCCTACGGCAGAACTGTCAGGCCAGTCCTCTGTTGGTACAGTGTCAGTGTCAGCCCAGTTTGGCCCAAGACTTTTCTGACTGAGCTTAGCCTGCTAGAGAGACATTTCCTTGACGTTTCCGGGGAACACGCAAAAGATTGGATGTCATGTGTTGGCAGTTCATGTACAGCACGTGACTTTTGACTTGTCTGTCCTGTGACTCTTAAAATAGCAATAGCACAAGAGTGCAGGCGCTGAAGACTCCTGAATACAAATGAACTGGCTTTCAACAAAAGACACTGCTTCCCTGAATTTGGACCTGTTTACAAACACCGGACAAGTTCTGCACTTAGATTCACTCACGGTGAAGTGGGCATTTGTCTCACACTGAAGGATAAGGTCCTTATATTGATGGTACATGGGGAGCTACCAAATTCACTGATCTCAAGCTGCTGCACGTCAAAATGTTGATCTGAAGGAGCAGTGTCTGCTAGATTGAGACACTCGAGCAAAGAAGCAGCTCAGGCATGCTTCTATAGGCATTTTGTGAATTGGAGCTGGGGGAGTCTGGAACAAGCTGATCAGCCATGTTGTCGAAGCCTGATTTCTTTCCAGATTATAATTCGGACAATCAACTACTGTACCAACTTCCAAATAAACTAGAGGGGCCGAATCGCCTTCTCTCATCTCTATTCTTACGCACAAGCAGCCTGACAGCGATGTATAGAACTCCTATACTGCCAGACACAGTCAGAGGAAAAAAAGTCGGTTTCCTGGAGGAATTACAGCGAGAGAGAGGGGGGTGATAAGCACTTCATGCTGAAGAGCAGCAGTAAGATGATGCATCGATGTATCAGGACTTTAAAGGAATGAAAAAGTAATTCAACCAGCGAGAGGGTGAAAATTCGTAAAACACCCCCTGTTTTCTTTTATGTTCTATCCCAGGCAAAAGTAACGGCGTAAACGAAACAAATGACACATAGTGTGTGACAGAAGACTGGAACAGGACAAATCAATCTGATTAAGTCCGATCATAGTCAGCGGCCGCCAGACTGTACAAAGGACTGGTCGGTTTTTGAACCCAGCGATGGCTGAAAATATTCTTCACATTAACTCTAAAGACGAACTCGTAATTACAGCTGAGCCCGACTCAGGACAGGAACAAGACGAGATGAGACCAGCAGGACCACCCAGCAATATTACAATATTACAAGGCTGCTGCTGGAAGAGGTGTTAGTGTGGCCAGCAGGGGGCACTCACCCTGCGGTCCATGTGGGTCCTAATGCCCCAGTATAGTGACGGGGACACTATACTGTAAACAGGTGCCCTCCTTCAGATGAGACGTAAAACTGAGGTCCTGACTCTCTTTGGTCATTAAAAATCCCAGGGCGCTTCTTGAAAAGAGTAGGGGTGTAACCCCGGCGTTCTGGCCAAATTTCCCCTTGGCCCTTACCAATCATGGCCTCCTAATAATCCCCATCTCTGAATTGGCTTCATTACTCTGCTCTCCTCCCCACTGATAGCTGGTGTGTGGTGAGCGTTCTGGCGCACTATGGTTGCCGTCGCATCACCCAGGCGGGGGCTGCACACTGGCGGTAGTGGAGGGGATCCCCATTACCTGTAAAGCGCTTTGAGTGAAGTGTCCAGAAAAGAGCTATATAAGTGTAAGCAATTATTATTATTATTACTACTATTATTATTACCATACAAATCAATTAAAAAAGTAAAGTTTCCACAATGGCATTCTCTCATTGGCAAGTAGATTGTTTTGCGGATAAAATGAAACGTGCTTCAACCTTACAACCCGCCAAGCACCAAGGTGTCTGTGCGGCCCGGAGAGGAAAGACACGTAGACACTGAACTACAGCCCGCACAGCTCCTGCACTGAGAGCGCAACAGCACTGACTCCCACAGCTCTCAGGACTGAAAGTTATATCCCTTTAGAAGACGACCCCCGGGAATTTCAGATTCGTTTTTCATTTCTTCCTCCAGTGTAACTGTAACGAAACAGTTCTTTCAGACCCTATGCAGACGACACAATCCAGGGGAAAAAAGACGGGGAAAAGATCATGCAGGATATGGGGATGAAAACAGGGGGGGGTGTCCTTGGTGCGCTGGTGTGCGGGGCCGAGGCAAACAATCCGGGAGAAAATCCAAAATGGAATCCAAACGAAAGCCAAAGTCCAAAACCGGGAGGTCCATCCACGACGAACAAGATTTAAAAACGGGAACCGGATCGGAACCGGTGAGAGACAGGAACAGAGAATAAAACCTTAACGGGACCAGGCGCTTCCATACAGAGATCAATGCAGAGCCCCGAATAAAGTGAGCCCCTGGCTTTTAAGGAGAACTGCAAAGGAGGTTGGAACAGGGAGCGGGTGTGGGCGATGAGTGGAAAACAAGGAAGGGCTGGAGCGTCCTTAAGAGGAGGGGTCTACGAACGTGACAGTAACTTGGAGAGGTAGAGAGTCCCACTGGGACA